CTGTGTCTGTGTTAATTGGTTTCCCTTTTCTTTGTTGAAGAGGGTCTGTGCAATCCTTCTGCCTAGTCCGCCATCTTGCCCCGCCTCCCATCCATTCATTCTTTCAACAAGTATTTCTTGAGCACTTACTATCTGCTACATACTGCCTCAGAAACTCAAGGAGGGGCCACTATGAGTCAAATCGACTTGACAGCAGTGAGTGAGTCACTGTACTAGGAGCTCTGGTGGCATAGTGCCTAAAGTATTTGCTAACCAGAAGCCTGGTCGTTCAAACCCACCAGCCACTCCTCGGAAGGAAGAGTGGACAATCTACTTCCGTAGTGATACTGCCTCGGAAACCCAAAGAGGGGTCACTATGAGTCAAATCAATTCGACGGCAGTGAATTTGGTTTTGGGTTTAGTCACTGTGCTATAGTCAGAGTCATTGAGTGGCACAAATGGTAAGTGCTTGGCTACTGACCAAAAGGTTGGTGTTACAAATCTACCCAGAGGCACCTAAGAAGAAAGGCCTGGCAATCTACTTCCACAAGATCACAGCCCTTGAAAGCCCTGTGGAGTACAGTCCTACTCTGACACACAAGGGGTTACCATGGGTCAGAATCAACTCTAGGGTCATTGATTTCGTTTTGGTTTTGGTACTAAATTCAGGGGATACAATGTTGAGCAAAACAACATGTAGCTCAGCCCAGGGGGTGAGAAGTATATGAATTGAGCTCTGGTAGCGTAGTGCCTAAGGCACTTGACTGCTAACCAGAAGTCAGTTCAAACCCACCAGCCACTCCTCGGAAGGAAGGTTGGGCAATCTACTTCCGTAGTGATACAGCCTTAGAAACCCAAGGAGGGGTTGCTATGGGTCAGGTCCAACTTGACGGCACACAACAACAACATGATCTCAAAATTTTAAATACAAACTGAAAAAAACCATGAAGGGAAAGCACACAGAACTATGAGATCTGGTTTACTATGGGGATGAAGAAAGGCTTTCCTGAGAATTAACTCTGAAAGAAGCTAGGAAGAATGGTAGAAGAGAGCTGCCTGGAGTTTGGTAGGTTGGGGGCGTGAGGAGGGTGAGTGGTGTAAGGGAAACCAAAGGCCAGTGTGGCAAGGGGACAAATGACCAGAGAGGCAGGCAGGGCCAGATCTGGCAGAGCAGTAAAGATTTCTTAAGGAATTTGGTTTTTATTCTAAGAGCAGTAGGAAGCCAAGGAGAATGAAATGATCAAATATGCATTTCTAAAGATTCTATGGGCTGCCTTGTGGAAAGTGGATTAAAGATGGCAGGGAGCATATGCAGGAAGACCAGTGTCAGACAAGAAAACTCCAAGGCCTGGTCTAGTGTAGAGCAGAGGAGCTAGAGAAAGAAGGATATGTTTGAGAGATAAACAAGGGATTGGATGGAGATTGATGGGAAATGGAGGGTATGGGAGAGGGGTTTTCACTGATGACTCCCAGCTCTCTAGTTATGCTTTATGGGTGGCATTTTATAGCTTCTAGACCATGGGTATACTTACTGAAGACCTTCCACATGCTTGGACTCTGCTTATCCCTGGGATAAGTTTAATCCTGGGTATACAAGTAGGATAGAGTCGCTGTGAGTCAGGATTGACTCAATGGCAGTGTGTTTGGTTTTTTATAGTACAAATATTCTTAGAGAAGGACTTTTAACAGGCTTGGTATCTTTTCATCTCTCCCCTTTTATTTACACTTTTGTAGGCAGCATCACATGCCCTCTGCCCACATCCATTGAACATGCTGACATCCGAATCAAGAGCTACAATTTGAGTTCAAGGGAGCGGTATACTTGTAACTCTGGTTTCAAGCGTAAAGCTGGGACATCCAGCCTGACTGAATGTGTGCTTAACAAGACCACAAACACTGCCCACTGGACAACTCCCAATCTCAAGTGCATCAGTAAGTAGCCAATTCTATACCCCATCTACCCCCACCCTTGCCAAGGGAGTCAAAAGAGTGGTGCTACAGTGTAAAAACCTGAATGAGCCAATCTCAGGGGCCAAAGAGAGATCTGTACTGAGGTCTCAGGTCATATAAACCAGTGGGACTCCAAACATCAACTTCTGGGGCTGAGAAATATGTGGAATTTGGGGTTACACAATTCTGGGTTCAAATTCTAGCTGGGCCACATACCATCCATGAGACCTTGGGCAAGGGCCTTCACATCTTTTAACTTCTGGTACCTCATCTAGAAAATGGACCTAATGCCAGCCTTGTAGGTTGTAGAAGAATACCTAAAACCAAAAATCCAAACTCACTGCTGTTGAGTTGATTCCAACTCATAGCTACCCCTCCTTGAGTTTCCAAGACGGTATCACAACAGAAGTGGATTGCCCAGTCTCCTTTCCAAGGAGTGGTTGGTGGGTTTGAACCGCCAATCTTCTGGTTAGCAGTCAAATGCCTTAGGCACTACGCAACCAGAGCTCCCTAGTCAGTATTAGTAATGCAGTTGTTGTTATGCATTGTCGAATCGGACCGACTCAGCGACCCCTCCTTGGCTTTCCGAGGTAGTATCACTACGGAAGTAGATTGCCCAACCTTCCTTCCAAGGAGTGGCTGGTGGGTTTGAACTGCCAGCCTTCTGGTTAGCAGTCAAGTGCTTTAGGCACTATGCTGCTAGAGCTCCTAGTATTAGTAACAGCAACTATTAATGTCAGTGCTTTGTTTCAAGATTATGGTAGCAAGAATTTGGCTATAGACAGAGTGTGTGCTCATTAGGATGCTTACTTCCCAGAAAGCTTTTCAGATTTATGCCTGGGAAATAGACTGTAGGGAAATTATTGCTGTTCTTCTCCATTGGTGCCCAACCCAGGAGACTGGAGTAGACTCATGGAGCACAGTTTCCCTTAGCTCAGTCACGTATGAATGGTGAGTGTCCAACCAGCACTCGAGTGGGAGAAGGTCATAAGAACTAACTTTTTTTCTTTTTTTTTTTAAACCACTCATAACTGGATGACTATCCCAGAAGAAGTCCATCTTGGGGTGGAAGCCACTTAGTGCAATTTCTAGGAATACTAAGCCCCACTTCTGTTCTCCTTCTTCCTTACTTTTGAAAACTAAAGATTAACCTGTGGTCTTAAAAGAGAATTTGGATTTAACAAACATTTATTGAGTGCTTAGTACAGTGCCAGCAGTTAGATAGATAGTTTCTCATGTAACAGTTATGAATATTCTCAACTCCTGTCTGAGGGGAATAGGGACAAAGGGATTGTCCTATAGCAAACTCACTCTGCTTTGAGACTTGTTGAAGAGCCAGATTTTCTAGCTGAACTTGTATTTAGATGACCTTTATATTCCCCTCCTCTTCTTGTTGAATGACAATCATGCAAACATCAGAGAAAAGGCAAGGAGAAAGCCCTTGCACTTGTTGCAGAGTAATCATATGGTCATGGAACAAAACTCCTCATGGCATCAAATTGAAATGTTATGCTGGACAAGGACAGGCATCAGCAGTAACACTGTAGAGAGAATAGAGTAGAGTTCTTACTCTGTCCTGTCCTGGGACTCACTGGAACCTATAACACTCACTGCCATCGAGTCAGATTCGACTCATAACAACTCCTCCTTGGGTTTCTGAGGCGGTATCTCTGTGAAAGTAGATTGCCCAATCTTCCTTCTGAGGAGTGGCTGGTGGGTTTGAACCGCCAGCCTTCTGGTTAGCAGTCAAATGCATTAGGCACTAAGACACCAGAGCTCCCAATACCTATAAAATAGGATAAAAATAAGGACTTTTCAGCTGTAGGAAAACTTAATACAGTCATGTACCATATAACATTCATTTGAGCAATGTCAGATCACACACATCTGTGGTCCCAATCCCTGTAAAGCCTATGATATTAAAAAGTCAAGGTACAAGCCATGGTTCCTAGTAACAAACAAGTGCTACTGTTGACATGCATCAAAATGTTGTTATTATTATTACTATATTATGTTAAGGAAGCTCTGGTAGGGTAGCGCCTAAGGCACTTGACTGCTAACCAGAAGGCTGACGGTTCAAACCCATTAGCCACTACTCAGAAGGAAGATGGGGCAATCTACTTCTGTAGTGATACTGCCTCGGAAGCCCAAGGAGGGGTCGCTATGAGTCAGGTCCGATTCGACGGCACATAACAACAACAACATATTATGTTAAAGATGCTTTAGTGTACCTGGAAGTGTTTCTTTAATGGTTTTACGCATAGAAAGATATACTGTATACTATGTATTGAAGCAAACATTTGACTAACTGACATTAGACATTAACTGTACCTTACCCAACTTATGTACAAACTCAACTTAAATACAGACTTAGGAACAGGACTCATCTGTAATGTGGCAACTGCCTGTATATAATATGGTGTTCATACAGCGTCCTATTTCACAGAACATATCATAGACGTTAAGCAACATGTGACTGTATTTCCTCAAAGCTACAAGTCTTTTGGGTGAAGAAATCTGAGTTGGAGTAGAATTGTAGCCTTTGAATAGGATGGGGGAGGGAAGGGGAAAGAAGGGAAAAAGAAGAGGGGAAACTTGGAATCATAGAACTGTACAACTCAAAGACTGGAGAAATCTTTAGGTATCATTTGGTTGAACAATTCTCAGCCCTTTTATCACTCACAACTCCCTTCATTATTTTTTTCAACCTCTTTGAATGATTTTTGCTCTACTAAACAAATTGCATCTATTGGGTAATACTTTATTTTCTAATGGAAAAACTAGTATAAAAATAAAAAATAAATAAATTTGATATTTAATTTGTGCAGTCTTTAAAGGAGCCCTGGTGGCACAGTGATTAAGTGCTCAACTGCAAACTGAAAGGTTAGTAATTTGAACCCACCAGTTGCTCTACAGGAAAAGATGTGGCAGTCTGCTTCTATAAAGATTTCAGCACTGGAAACCCTATGGGGCAATTCTACTCTGTCCTATGAGTTGGAATGAACTCTACAGCAGTGGGTTTTTTTGTTTTGTTTTATTTTTTCAGTCTTTTTTTAAATGCCAGAAAAGTAGTTTGCAGTCTGTCTGTGTATTTGTGTGGGAATTGCAGGTTGGGAAACATTGATTCTTGCTTATTTCCTGTGCTTCTCACTTATACTAGGAAGTCAGATGTCTGTATTTTAAATTCACTCATTCATTTATCCATGCAGTTCTGAAACCATCCCAGGTTCCAACCTCAGGATCATAAATGCCATGTGGTTATCCTGTCTCTAGGAGATCCCTCCCTGACTCACCAAAAGCCTGTGTCACCGTCCACAGTAGCACCAGCAACGGTGACCCCACAGCCAGAGAGCTTCACCCCTTCTAGAAAAGGTAGGAATGTCAGAAACTTTTTATGGACTCCTATCCCCTACTACCACCCAGGTTCCCATAAACTTCTCAAATTCATGGACCACAGCTGGCATCTGCTGCAAACAAAATAATAGAACAAATCTCTTATTAAAGTCAAGAATAAGAGTTTCCATTGGCCTACTTTTCTTTTATAAATCAATGTTGCTTGATAATCAGGATTCATATGTGTATAATTAATAATATTTTGAAATCTGTTAGTATGTCAGATCTGATGTAGTTATACACATTTATCCTGTCAAGAACTGTGAAGGGGCTGACATTACACCTTTCTTGGATGTTAGCCTGCTGTAGTTTCGTGAATGCCAACAGGAGACATGTCACTCCCAGATCAGAGACAACAAACAGGAAGAGCATTTGCATTTTTGCATCAATTTCCCTTGCCCTCAAGTCTTTCCTGGGCAATGTCAAAATGGTCCCAAATGGGTGCCTGCACATTCAGTGGGCTGCGTTGTAAGACAGAAGCCCTGAGTTTAGGGACCCTGAATCTTTTACAATTGCCTGCCCTTTGCTCCGGAGATAATCACTATCTCTTTCTTTCAAGACATTTGCTCTATAGATATTTTTGAAAAGACAGGCCATAGAAAGGGCAGTCAGTGCCTCTGCTTGCAACACGTTGAAAAGTGAGAGAGCCGTGGAAAATTGTCCCCCAACAATCCTAGGCATCAACAAATAAACTATGATTGATCTATTACAGAAACTCTTGTGTGAAGCTACCAGTGTTTTATATTTAAATGTGTCTCTGGTAATCTTCTACCCCCATTCCCTCAGCACTACCCCAATTGTTAACTCTAAATCTTAGATGCTAAATATCTTGAGGTAATCTGCCTTGTATCCTATGATAAACTTACTTTGCATTTAACTTTTGACTTTTAGTAGCACATTATCCAATTTGTAGCTTATATTATTCTGGCCCTTGTCTCCTCTTTTTCCTCCAGGTATAGTTTTCTGTTTACACTTACTGCACTGCCCATTCATACCTTCCTTAAAGCAGTGGTTCTCAACCTTGGATCACCTTGGAACTCAAATTGGTCTGCAGAGCAGTCTGTTGTTGTGTTGTTGTTATGTGCCGTCAAGTCGGCCCCGACTCATAGCGACCCCTCCTTGGGTTTCTGAGGCAGTATCACTATGGAAGTAGGATTGCCCAACCCTCCTTCCGAGGAGTGGCTCGGCAGTCTGGGAGTCCTTATATGTGCTGTGATAACTGCACAGTACAAATTAGATAGCCAAGATTGAGAAACACTGCTTGAGGGAGGGCCCAACCACCCACTGTCATGAAGTCAATTCCAATTCCAACTCATAGTGATCCTATAGGATAGAATAGAACTGTTCCATAATGTTTCCAAGGCTGTAAATGACTACCTCATCTTTCTTCTGCAGAGCAGCTGGTGGGTTCAAACTGCTGACCTTTTGGTTAGCAGCCAAATGCCTTAACCATTGTGTCACCAGATCTACTTTGAGGGAAGGCAGAGGCTAAAAAGAGGTTTACTCTTAGTTTTTTGGCTACAAACAGGAGGTAGAAAAGGTTATTGAGGTACCAGCTAGATTTCAGTTTGGGGTAATTCCAAAATTCCTTTGATCTGAGTCTCACCTGCCTCACCCAATTGATGAGATTGATCAAACAGCCTCTCACAGCCCTGCCTTCATGTTCCATGTACTTGGTCAGACATGTCCATCCCTGAGACAAAACTGCAGCCAAAACCTCAGATGTGAGTGTCATCTTTGGCACAGGCTGGCCTAACCACAGCACTTGGATGCAAATGCACTGGGGTAACTCTATCTGCATATTGTCCTGGAGTGATGGCAGCTTGGGTAGGATACAACATGTAGAGGTAGTGACAAAGGAGTAAAGGCTACTCTCATAGCCTCTTTACATAGAGTAAAGTACTTCTCATGGTATGTGTGGCTGGGAGAGCATAGGAAAGTGACCCAAAACAGTGTGACCAGGAAAGTGAAGACATGCTGCATCCCAGTGGTTCTTTGCTCATGTCATCTGCTCTGGGGCACATTTTATAAGTACTGGATTTATCACAAGAAGCTCTGGTGCTGTATTGGCTAAGCATTTAGCTGCTAACCAAAAGGTCAGCAGTTTAAACCTACCACCCTCTCCACAGGAGAAAGATGAGGCAGTCTGCTTCCGTAAAAATTTACAGCCTTGGAAACCCTATGAGACAGTTCTACTCTGACCTATAGGGTCACCATGAGTCAGAATCAACTCAGTGGCAGTGGGTTTGGTATGGTTTGGACTTACCACAATAGAAGACTCACTTTTCATGGAAAAAAAGAATGGCAAAAAGTTATCTCATGCCTTACAGTTTAAAGGCGACCGGCCAATCTGACAATTGAGACAAACACAAACATGCTACCACTGAGTCGGAACCAACTCATAGTGACCCCTCCTTGAGTTTCTGAGGCAATATCACTATGGAAGTTGATTGCCTGTTTGACAGTTGGGACAAGGAAGATAGATACTAGGAAGATGCTCCCTCCCTGTGAGTAGAGCAAGATCAGGCTACTTTCTTCAGGTATCTCCGCTGAAGTTTCAGATAGGCTTCCCCTTATTTCCAAGTTTTTGTGCAAATTTAAAAGTAAAATCAAATCAGCATCCCAGGTGTCTTTAGTAGATATGGTTATACTTGTTTTTGAGATCTTTGGGATCTTGTCCTTATATGTGCTGTGATAACTGCAAATTCTCTAGAGTTCACAGAAATCTCATGGCATTCCAGATGGATGAATGTATTACCCATTTAAGGAATTTTCCCAAAGAACTGGTTGCTGGGGGCTGGACTAACTAGAGCAGGCCTTTGAGTATATCCTCTTCTGGAGACTCTATTCAAAATATTTATATTCCCCACATTTTGGAATTCCCAACAGAGCCAGAAATTTCCACCCCCAAGTCAGACACCACAGTGACCACAGAGACAGCTCTTGTACCAGGCTCCAGGCAGATGCCATCGGAACCACCTTCTGCAGGAACCACAGGGATAGTCAGGAATGGGTCCTCCCCAGCCTCATCTCAGACAACAGCAAAGACTTTGGAACAGACTCCCTTTGCTTCCCACACGGCACCAGGTTAGCACAAGCTTTGCATACTTCAGGAAAGGCTGGTTATCATGTGCTGCCTCTGACATTTGAATTGCGCTCTAGGGAGAGACAACTGTGTAGCAGTATATCATTCAACCCAAAGTCATGACTGACAGAGCTATGCTTTTGCCTTCTGCTCTCTGCCACAGCCTCTTTGCTCTGGTCTGTAATCTTTGGGTTCTACTGTGCCTTAGTCCAGCTGGAACAGGTGGAAAGAAAGTCCATTTCCGAGATGGGACAAGGCTAACCTTATTAATTTGTATGGGCAGAGTCTATGCCAAGAATCTAAACAATGCTGGCATCCTGCAAATGGGATTGAGGAAGCTTTCCACAATCTGGAGGCATGATCCAGGGGTAGAGGAGCTCTCGGTAATCTGGATCTTCTGTAAGGGTTTCTTTGATTCTTAAATTTGGCCCAGCACTAAATGAGTTACTCTGCATATTCTTTGCTAAAATGAGTTTCGTTATGCCAGCTGCTGTGAATCTCTCAAGGTTTTAAGGTGGGAGCCAAAATGCCCAAAATTCTCCTACTTTATGGGAAATTGGTGCCTTTGGGACTGTGGCCATAATTGAGTTGTCATCTCTTTTCTGCAGATGCTTCTTCAGACAGTTCCACCACTGGTAATTTCACGGCTGTCACTGGTAAGTATCTTTATTTGTCTAACAATGTTTATGATCAGGGTGGCCTTAACCCTGGTTTGCAGACCAGTCTTGGTTTATGCCTACTGTTCCAGCACAATCATTAACAGCATTCCTTGTCACTCTTAAAAGCATTTCAGTTTAGTAGGATGAGTTATATCATCATCCTGTTCATGGGATTCTTTATTTGAAATGATGACGTATCTTAACATGGGTAGTTTCTAACTGTCAGGCTACTGATGTTGAAACCAGAGTATTGATACCCCACAAAAAAAGCCTCATTATTCAGCTATTCACAGTTCTACTAAGCAATGCTAGACTTCTGTCCAGGACTTATTGGAAGACCATAAGTGAGTGCTACCGTGATTATAATCATGCTGTTCTTCTGGCATAAACAGAACTAATGTTGCACAGGGTTTTACTACCAAGTACTTCACAATGAGGCTGTTCAAGTTTCACAATATAAAAGGCATATTTTTACAGAAGATAACACACAACACTAAGGCTAGGAGAGAAAGAATGTTGAAGTGAGTACAAAGGGAAAGATGGAAAAGTGCAAGAATGAAAGAAAAAGATGAAAGGAAGAGATGAGAGCTCAGAGAAGAGAAAAGAGGATAGGAGAAAGATGGTGGGAAAGAAGCAAGGAGAGGAATGCATGTAGGGGAAAGAATCTAATGCTTTTTGTCTGATAAACTTTATAAGGAACCAAAAAAAAAAAAAAAAACATTGATATAGTTACACAATAATTGGAAATGGAGGAAAAAAATTTCTATTTCTTATTCATAAGTTTGCTAATTTTTAATGCATTTTATTAAAATATAATTTATGTACAGTGAATACACAAAACTAAAGTGACATGGGTCAATG